GGGATGGCGTGCTTTCAACGCGGTAAATTGCCTCAGGCAAAGTAGACCAAAGTGCAATTGACCAAGTGTCGTAGGGTTCAGGCAATAGGGTTCCCCCAGGCAATCAAATTTCACCAGGCATTTTTGGTTTATGAGTCTGTGACGATCCGATTAAAAATTGCCTCAGGCAAAGTAGACCAAAGTGCAATTGACCAAGTGTCGTAGGGTTCAGGCAATAGGGTTTTTGGTTTATGAGTCTGTGACGATCCGATTAAAAATTGCCTCAGGCAAAGTAGACCAAAGTGCAATTGACCAAGTGTCGTAGGTTTTTAATCGGTGCAATTGAAAGTGCAATTGACCAAGTGTCGTAGGGTTCAGGCAATAGGGTTCCCCCAGGCAAGACCAAAGTGCAATTGTCGTAGGGTTCAGGCAATAGGGTTGCCACTTTTTGTGGTAGTACAAGCCCCAGTATCTGGCATTTGATTGCCTGGGTTCCCCCAGGCAATCAAATTTACTTGTTGCTATGATGGTAATCCTGCTTAGTACGAGAGGAACCGCAGGTTCAGACATTTGGTTCATGTGCTTGGTCGATAGGCCAATGGCGCGAAGCTACCATCTGAGGGATTATGACTGAACGCCTCTAAGTCAGAATCCCGCCCAGTCATGATAGCAATATATATCGCTCTCCGGTGTCGGAAGGCAAAATGTATGCCACTTTTTGTGGTAGTACAAGCCCCAGTATCTGGCATTTTCTTTCTACTATAATTGGTAGTTGGTTGCTAAAAGCTTAGCACTCCACGTGCAGGTGTAACGTCGGGGCGCAAAATCACTTGTATACGACTTGAATACTGGTCAGGGGGTTGTAAACAGTAGAGCAGCTCTTCGCTGCGATCTGCTGAGACTTAGCCCTTGATCGGATGATTTGTCTTTTTTATATACTATAGAAATGTTTATCCAAGTGCCGTAGGCCAGAGTGCATTGTCAAAAGTAGACCCAGGCAATCAAATTTCACCAGGCATTTTTGGTTTATGAGTCTGTGACGATCCGATTAAAAATTGCCTCAGGCAAAGTAGACCAAAGTGCAATTGACCAAGTGTCGTAGGGTTCAGGCAATAGGGTTCCCCCAGGCAATCAAATTTCACCAGGCATTTTTGGTTTATGAGTCTGTGACGATCCGATTAAAAATTGCCTCAGGCAAAGTAGACCAAAGTGCAATTGACCAAGTGTCGTAGGGTTCAGGCAATAGGGTTCCCCCAGGCAATCAAATTTCACCAGGCATTTTTGGTTTATGAGTCTGTGACGATCCGATTAAAAATTGCCTCAGGCAAAGTAGACCAAAGTGCAATTGACCAAGTGTCGTAGGGTTCAGGCAATAGGGTTCCCCCAGGCAATCAAATTTCACCAGGCATTTTTGGTTTATGAGTCTGTGACGATCCGATTAAAAATTGCCTCAGGCAAAGTAGACCAAAGTGCAATTGACCAAGTGTCGTAGGGTTCAGGCAATAGGGTTTTTGGTTTATGAGTCTGTGACGATCCGATTAAAAATTGCCTCAGGCAAAGTAGACCAAAGTGCAATTGACCAAGTGTCGTAGGGTTCAGGCAATAGGGTTCCCCCAGGCAATCAAATTTCACCAGGCATTTTTGGTTTATGAGTCTGTGACGATCCGATTAAAAATTGCCTCAGGCAAAGTAGACCAAAGTGCAATTGACCAAGTGTCGTAGGGTTCAGGCAATAGGGTTCCCCCAGGCAATCAAATTTCACCAGGCATTTTTGGTTTATGAGTCTGTGACGATCCGATTAAAAATTGCCTCAGGCAAAGTAGACCAAAGTGCAATTGACCAAGTGTCGTAGGGTTCAGGCAATAGGGTTCCCCCAGGCAATCAAATTTCACCAGGCATTTTTGGTTTATGAGTCTGTGACGATCCGATTAAAAATTGCCTCAGGCAAAGTAGACCAAAGTGCAATTGAAAGTAGACCAAAGTGCATTAAAAAAAGATTACGACACCCCCGATTCCCAGGACGTCTCCGTTCCAAGTACTAAGGAAGCCCAGCGTTGCTTAACTTGCCAGATCGGACGGGATGGCGTGCTTTCAACGCGGTAAATTGCCTCAGGCAAAGTAGACCAAAGTGCAATTGACCAAGTGTCGTAGGGTTCAGGCAATAGGGTTCCCCCAGGCAATCAAATTTCACCAGGCATTTTTGGTTTATGAGTCTGTGACGATCCGATTAAAAATTGCCTCAGGCAAAGTAGACCAAAGTGCAATTGACCAAGTGTCGTAGGGTTCAGGCAATAGGGTTTTTGGTTTATGAGTCTGTGACGATCCGATTAAAAATTGCCTCAGGCAAAGTAGACCAAAGTGCAATTGACCAAGTGTCGTAGGGTTCAGGCAATAGGGTTCCCCCAGGCAATCAAATTTCACCAGGCATTTTTGGTTTATGAGTCTGTGACGATCCGATTAAAAATTGCCTCAGGCAAAGTAGACCAAAGTGCAATTGACCAAGTGTCGTAGGGTTAAGGCA